AAGTCCCAGGAGCCCCTGTAAAACCACTGGTGTAAGTACAAGAGTCCAAAGGCTGAAGAACCTGGAGTCCGATGTCCAAGGGCAGGAGGCTTGGAAGGAAGCATCCAGCACGGGAGAAAAATCAAAGTCGAGCACTCAGCAAGGCAGCTTACCCCACCTTCTTCTAGCTGCTTTGTTCTGCTGGCTCTGGCAGCCATTGGATGGTGCCCACCCACATTGAGGATGGGTCGTCTTCGCCCAGTCCACTGACTCAAATATCAATCCCCTCTGCCAACACCGTCACAGATACAGCCAGAAACAACACTTTACCAGCTATCTAGGCTTCCTTCCATCCAGTCCAGTTGACACCTAATATTGATCATTGTAAGTTCTGTATGTGTGTGTGTGTATTTAGGTCATATAAACATATGTATACCCACATCATATACAGTAAATTCTAATTACTCCAGTTATCTTGTGTAATTTTTCTTTTCTATTTATATATTTATTGTGCCTTTGTATAAGCATAAATTTCATTCACATTAAATGCTCAAACAGTAGAAACCTGTATTTCGATTAACAAAGAACATGATATACTGTCACATGGCACAAAATGTTTTGGTCAATGACAGACTGCACATAGATAGTGGTCCCATTAGATTATTACGGAGCTGAAAAATTCCTATGACTTAGTGATGTCATAGCAATAGTTGCAGTACAGTGTATTATTCACATGTCTGTGGTGATGCTGATGTGAACAAATTACCATGCTGCCAGTGGAATAAAGTATAGCACACACAATTACATACACTACATAACATTTGATAATGGTAATACATAAACAGTGTTACTGGTTTATGTATTTAACGTAGTGTACTTTTAATTATTATTTTAGAGTGTACTCCTTTTACTTCTGCAAAATCAGTTACCTGAAAAACAACCTTGGGCAGGTCCAACAGGAGGAATTCCAGCAGAAGGCCTTGTTACCATAGGAGAGGACAGCTGCACATGTGTTATTGCCCCTGAACCTTCCAGTGGGACAAGATGTGGAGGGGATGACAGTGATATTGATCTTGCTGACACTGTGTAGGCTTAGGCTAATGCGTGTGTTTGTGTTAGTTTGTTTAAAAGGTTAAAAATAGAAATTAAAATGAAAAATAGAAAAAAGCTTGTAGAATAAGAATATAAAGAAAATAGTTTTTAAGGCTGTGCAATTTCTGTTTTTAAATAAAGGATATTTAAAAAGAGGCAGAAAGTTTTTAAAAATTGAAAAATTTAGAAACCAGCAAAGTTGCAGTAAGCTAATTTATTATTAGCTAAAGAAAAAAAGTGCTGCATAACTATAGTGTATCCTAGTGTAGAGTTTATGAATCCTGCAGTAGTGTGCTGTAATATCCTAGGCCGTGACTTTCACTTGCTACTTACTCACTGACTCACCCAGGGAAAATGCCATTTCCGCAGGCTTCATTCACAGTCAGTGCCCTATAAAAGCATGCCATTTTTTCCCCTTTTTTAAAAACCATATTTTACTGTTTTTTTATGTTTATATATGATTAGATAAACAAAAATTATCATTCTGTTTATTGCTTACGTTATTCACTACAGTAACATGTTGTACAGGTTTGTATCCTTGGAGCAATAGGCTATCCCATATAACATAGGTGTGTAGTAGCTGTACCATCTAGGTTTATGTAAATACACTCTATGATGTTGACTCAGGGATGAAATTGCCTACAGACACATTCCTCAGAAGTATCCCCGTCATTAAGCCAACAATAACAGTATAACACTATTTAATGGCAAACTCCAAGTGGATGTTTGTAGCAGTAGTAGACATCAGTATTTCAAACTTAAATAGAAAACATTAGTGAATGATATGTTATGTGGCATCTTTAGTGAATGATTTTACTGTTTTACTTCCATAATATGATTAACAGAAGAAACCTAGTTAATGAAAATGTAATAAAATGTACATATAAAAAAATTTACTTGTAATAGAAATAGATACAATATAAACACAAACATATATGCATATAACATTATTAATTTATTTTGTGAAAATATATTACAATATATTTTACAGAAAAACATATATACCTACCAACATTAGCCATTCTGATGGAAGGGCAAATAATAATTCTCAGTGCAAAGAAATAAATATGGATTTAAATTTCAACTTTTTAGATTTTAGAGAATGGCCGGGCACAGTGGCTCATGCCTGTAATCCCAGCACTTTGGAAGGCCGAGGCAGATGGATAACGAGGTCAGGAGATTGAGACCATCCTGGCTAACACGGTGAAACCCCATCTACTAAAAATACAAAAAATTAGCTAGGCATGCTAGTGCACACCTGTAATCCCAGCTACTCGGGAGGCTGAGGCAGGAGAATCACTTGAGCCCAGGAGGTGGAGGTTGCAGTGAGCTGAGATGGCACCACTGTACTCCAGCCTGGGCAATAGAATTATGCATAAACATTCACCCTTTTTTTGATAGAAAATAAATGATGAAAAGATTTTATTTAATACGACTAAATAATTTATAGTTTTTTTCCTGATATTCGTATACCATTTTTTTTTAAATTTTGTTTACTTATTTTTGAGACAAGATCTGGCTGTGTCACCCAGTCTGCAGTGCAGTGACACTAACTCAGTTCACTACAGCCTTGACCTCCCAGGCTCAAGCGATCTCCAGTCTCAGCCTCCAGTGCAGCTGGGACTACAAGCAAACACCAGCATCCTCGGCTAATTTTTTTTTTTTTTGGAAGAGATGGGGTTTCATCCTGTGTATCATGCTGACCTCAAACTCCTGAGCTCAAGTGATTCTGGATGCTGGGATCACTGACATGAGCTACCGCGCCCCGGCATTCATGTATCATTTTACTTATGTTTTTAAAAATCTCTGTTTTCTGTCCTCCCCATTTTTAGGTAGGTGATATCTGAAAAATTGCTTTTACCTCCCTACTTAGTTTAACTTAAGCTTTAATCATTTACAACAAATATTTCTATTAAAATGGAGACAATAAGTCATGATTAGAGAAGGAATCGGTGAACAATATTGTAGGTAGTTTTTTATTAGATCAGTCTCTGGCATAGAGATATAGTTCAGTATTGTTTAATATTTTATTCTTTCAAGAGACATTTATTTTAATCAGAGGAATCTGGTTAACTTACATAAAGAAGAAAAATGAATGAGGGAATTTTAAGAACTACGGCAAAGAAATCAAGAGATAAGTTTGAAAATTCATGTCAGTTACAATTAAGTTGAAAACGTAGCATTTTCTGAAAACAGTGACAAGTACATTAAATTCCGACTGATAAGATTATTTAAATTTTTTATTATGTTAACAGTGATAGAGTTGTATGATAAAAAGTATATAATGCCAACTTTTAGGCACCTTGTCTAAAGGTAGAAAGTAAACACCTATGATACTTTAAAAAAGTTACAAGATTTTGGTGTTTGTGACTGAGAAGGAAACAATCAACTCCATGGGTCAAATCTCTGCTCTCCGCCCATCCTGTCCACTATAAAAATAATTTCTAAGAGGCACTTGAAAATGGACAAACTAAATGCCACCCTAGCCACCCAAAGTCTCCTATATTCTGAAGTGTGTGATGAGATACACTGATTCAAAATAGCCCTAGGGTGAGAATTTCCTGTTCAAATCTGAAGTGACACATTGGCGAGGAATCTACTTTTTCCACTCTTGCCTCACTCTGACCCTTCAAAGGGCAGTCTGTGAAGATCACAGATAAGGTTTGTGTCTTTAAGAGGTAACCTGACCGCTCCACTGAAGGGTGCCTGACTTTCTGGTGACAGAAGGTATGTGTTGCTACTCTCCCTGTTTCTCTACTTGCTCATCTCATTTAGTAGAAGATTGTAAATACTGACTGTGATGCACCTGAGGTAAAGTTTATATAGAGTAAAATCAAAGTAGAACTCTCTTCATGTGAATCATTCAAGGTGAAAAACGAGCCAAAATATAAAATATGTTTGAGAATTTCTTAGAGTTATTGCCTGTGGAGAATCACTCAAGTAGATGCATACATAATAATAGGTTTGCCAATCAATGTAATTCAGAGTGAAACCCATAACCATCATGACAATGAACAGTTCATTTTGGATTTTGTCATCCTTACTGGCTTAATTGTATATTACATTTAGAGCAACCTCTAAAAATTTTTTTTAAAATGGATACCTCAAATTGTGAACGTCAAACATTAATTCTCAATCTCATACCTGGATTTAATGAAAGTAGTTTTAATTTTTAATAAAAGCAAGGATGAAATCGTTTCCATAAAATGCAAATCTAACCTGAATTATAAACAACTGGAAGACCTGAAACAATTGAACCAAACATTGCAAAACAGATATACCACACTGACATGAGATGCCTAATTAATGAGTTATTTTACACACTCTAATGCCAATCAGAAATAATAAAATGGCAATTGTGTTAAAAATAGGCAAAATATATATTATATATTCATTGCCAACATGTGCCAGGTTGTGTGTTTAGTTTTGCATGCAGTATACTTTATAAATTATTTTTGCCAATGTAGATTAGTAAACTAGGTTAGTAGACACGCAGTAATTTAGTAAAGGTCACCCATTATAACTTGCAAAGATAGAATTAATTGTAGTCTCACTGACTACAGAGCTCATTGACTAGATTATTAAATTACATTATCTGAACTATTACAATTACTTATACAACCAAAGCGACCTTCACTGACTTCTACAACCATAGGAGCTTTCTGAAAGTTTGATTGGACACTGTTCTTCCACAGATGGCCCACACGTTTATTCATCATTTTAAGTTTTCCAATTAAGTCCTTAAATTATTACCAATTTCTTGTGTAAAAGAAGCAATTTAAAAATGCATTGTTTTCAATAGTATTTACTTTATGCATAGAGTAATGTACTGTTTTACAAGATATAAGATATATTTTTAAAATCTTAATGAAGTTTCCAATTTCCTAATTTAGAAAAAAAATCATTTGACAATACCTCATGTCCTTTTAAAAAATGAATTTTTAGTATAAGAAGTTACTCTATATGCTAACAGAACTATTTTATGGCACAATATGCTTAACCATCAGGGAATCTTAAAACTATCATAACAAATAGTGTATATGTATTTCTAAATACAGTATTTTAATTGTTAACGTATGCATTCTATTGGTGCTAAATATTTTTGAAGAATTTAAACTTAATTTAATACAAATTTTTTTCATGAACTTCCTATTTCTCACAGGTTTAATGTTTTTATTGTTTCCACTAGTAATATTATGTCAAATCCAGAATATCTCTAAAAAAATACCAATTGTATCATGTGATTTTTGCTTAAAGCTTTAGGAAATTAGTACCAGAATTTTACATTGGTTAACAGCAAAGTAAACATTACCGCTCAGCTCCAACATATGCAGATTGCCTATACCAGGGATCCTATCAAAATATACACCGTTTATAGCTTCTTAAGTACAGTTATCGTAGAGCACAGTCCCTGACACCACACAGCTGCAGAGATGAATAAACAAAGAGGAACCTTCTCAGAAATGAGTCTGGCCCAGGATCCAAAGAGGCAGCAAAGGAAACCTAAAGGCAATAAAAGCTCCATTTCAGGAACCGAACAGGAAATATTCCAAGTAGAATTAAGCCTTCAAAATCCTTCTCTGAATCATGAAGGGATTGATCAAATATACGAATACCAAGGTAACACATTAAATAGATCTTCAATATTATTGTTCTAGGATGTACAGTTGAATGCAGAAGGGTGGGGAAAGATTAGGGAATATTTTGCACTTGTGAGAATCAGAGTTCATAATTGGGATCTAATATTCTAATATGACATCAGAAGACTAATTTTATTCGGGCATTGTTCAACCGTAATCTGCGATCCACTCATGGAACATCATGTTTTCTGAAAATGAACTGGTATATTCTGAGGGAAAGATTACCAGAGTAGATGTAGATTTAGAGGCCAGAGGTTATCATTATGTTTCCCTGTGCATGTGGGTTCTCTAGTATGGAATCCTAATCAACTCTCTATCTCCCCTCTCTCAGTGCCTCTGTTTCTCTCCCTGCAGGTTTACTGCCACCTCCAGAGAAGCTCACTGCTGAGGTCCTGGGAATCATTTGCATTGTCCTGATGGCCACTGTGTTAAAAACAATAGTTCTTATTCCTTGTAAGCACATTCTTGAAAGATTAGACGGGAACATTTTACTTTAATGCTTGGAAGTGCCTCAAAATATTTCATCCTGTTGGAATAGAACTCTCATTGTAATGTTTATTTCAGAGATCTATTACTTCATTTATTTTTATAGAAAAAGTTAATTTCATTAAAGATTGTCCCCATTTTAAATAACACATAAAGTTTCAAAGTAAGAAACTAAACTTGTTATGGTTTATCTAGGTATTAGTTTTTATGAAAATCATTTTAATTTTTCTGTTACAGTCCCGGAGCAGAGCAATTCTTCCCCGAATACAAGAACCCAGAAAGGTACATTTTTATTTTCAACGTTCAGATATTAGTATAATTTGGACCCAAAAGTAATATGGTTATTCTGAATTTTTCACAACATAAATAACAAAATCATTGTAGAGAATATGTGTTTGTTTTTTTGTGTGTGTAATCTATCTATCTATATATACACACATACACATACAATGTATTTTCTGAATTCATAATTCAAATGCATGCTATAGGAGAAAAGTATTTAGAAAAACAAATTAATTTTTGAAAGTGGTTACGTCAAATACTACAAGAGATGGTGAAGTTTTGTACTAAAGTCTTTAAAAATATTTCTTTCGATGATCTATTCATTTATTTTTAGAGAAAAAGTGAATTTTATTAAAGACTGTCCCCATTTTAAATAACACACAAAGTTTCAAAGTAAGAAAGTAAACTCGTTATGGTTTATCTAGATATTAGTTTTTATAAAACTCATTTTAATTTTTCTATTACAGTCCTGGAACAGAACAATTCTTTCCCGAATACAAGAACCCAGAAAGGTACACTTTTATTTTCAATGTTCTGATATTAGTACAATTTATATTTTGTGTCTGGTTTAAGGCATGTAAAAGAATGATGGCATTTTTCCAGAAAATAAGCCATAAAATTCAGCCATAAATATTTATAAACCAAGATTATAAGGCAGCATTTCCTTTTCTCCAATAAGTAGAAATACTCACTTAAAATCATTCTACTGTTTTTCTCCCAATTAACACAAGTTTCCTACTGCTATGAGATGATATGAATGAATAATTTTACTATCCTAAAAAAGCAGTTATGTATCAGTGATGTTCAAGACATGTGGAGAGTGTATTTTTGTTTGTTGGTTTGTTTTATATGGGAACACAATTAGGGATGACAGGCTAACCCAGTGCATGTGTGTATGACTGACTCGGTTATTAAAAAATATATATTTATAAGCCTGTAAAGATATATAAGTATGTTAAGCACATATAGGTTTATACTGTTGCAAATATGTAAACTAATTTTCATTTGTAAACATTCATATTGTTCTGCATAGTAATTCATATCTTTATTTAGTACATCATTGTGGCCATTGTCCTGAGGAGTGGATTACATATTCCAACAGTTGTTATTACATTGGCAAGGAAAAAAGAACTTGGGCAGAGAGTTTGCTGGACTGTGCTTCGAAGAACTCTAGTCTGCTTTCTATAGATAATGAAGACGAAATGGTAAGATATAAATGTTTCAAACATTTTAGGAAAAGCTTCTTTCAGTGAATAATACATTTGTAGGAAATATCCATGTGTGTGTACATATAATTATCTGATATATTTTCAAGTTTATGTATTATTCAATTGATTGACTTAATAATGTGTTTGAAGTTATATACTACTAATGTACTTTTATTTTCAGTTTTTGCTTTTCAAAGAAAACCAAGCTTCTATAAATACTTTGAATCCACAATAAATGTTGCTATCCAATTTTATCGGGCATAATATGATCTGGTCATGCAGATTGATCACAAAGTGCATGAACTCATGTGATACAAGTCAGACCATGAAGTAAAAGTTTCCAGCTCTAGCAGTTCCACCCTTGTGTATACACTCATCACTTACCCTGACTCCTCTCCAAAACACTGTATTGACTTTTAATATTATAAATAGCATTTGCCTGTTCTTGAATTTATATAAAGGGAATCATACAGTGTGAATTTCATGTCTGTCTTTTTCACTCCTAGCTGATAGTTCTGCAATTCCTCCATATTATTGCAGTTATCAGTAGTATGTTACTGTTCACTGCTGTACTATGTACAAAGAACACTAAGAATCCATTGAGTCCTTGTCGCTGGGTGGGGAAGTGGGTCTCCTGCCCTCAGGGACAAAGAGGACCCTGGGTGGTGCACTGGTAGTCATGGGGTCGCTTTGCTGATCCTCCTCACCCGCATCCACCCTAGTGTCCCTTGGAATGAGAAGAAAGCACTTCCTCTGGCTGTACTGATAGCAGGTCTTCTGGTAGCTCATCCTCGCCAGTGGTACCAGCCTTGCCTGGTGGTGTGGAGGGGACTCCACTTCAATACAGAGCAGGAGTGAGCTTTGCTGGGCCTCCTCCTGTTGCCAGGTTGGGTGTGGGGAAACAGCAGGCTTAGGTCACCTTCTTCTGTCGGGTGGGGGACTTCACATGCTCGCTCAGATACTTTGTTGAATCCTGATGATAGGGTCCCAGACAATTTCATCTTCCTCTTTCCACCTTTCAGAGTTCTCCATTGCTTTTGTCTTTCATTAATCCCAGAGTTTATAGTTATTTTTAGTAGGAAGTAGCAGAGAGAGATGGGTCTACAGCACCTGGTCAGGACCACTGTTATTCCACCAAAACCAAATCAGATAAAAAAGTGAAGGCTTATCTAGTTAAAGAATGGTGTGGTACCCAGAAAACCCAATCTGTAGCTTCTGTGTCATTTATTTCCGAATGACAACCTCTCATTTCTCTTCTAAATCTCCAACCTGGGAAATATAGTACAAAAATAGATTGATTTCATCACAGTATCTGGAGGAATGAATGCACAGTATCAGGAAACTTACTTAAATCCTTCCTGTGTTTATTCAGTCAATTGGGGTAACTATTATAATGCAAGAATTAAAATATCTTTATTAACATGAAAATAACAATGAAAGTACTAAGTATAAACATTGAAGAGTTCATTTATATCAAAATCATAAATATTTATGAAAGTTTTTGGTACCGCAAATAGTGGTCTTCAACTTTAATATATTGTTTTTATAATGTTTTTGTAAGTATTATTTAAGTGAAAATTCTTTCTTTTCTTTTAGAAATTTCTGACCGCCATTTTACCTTCCTCATGGATTGGTGTGTTTCGTGACAGCAGTCATCATCCATGGGTGACAATAAACGGTCTGACTTTCAAACATGAGTAAGTTGTTTTGTACGGTGCCATATAAAAATATATATAAAGGATAAAGTCAGAAGACTAATATGAATAAATTTATGTGGAATCATATACATGAAGAAAGATGTGGAAAGTTAGTGAAATGTTGATATAAATATTTCACAATAGACCATAGTAGTCCCTATATGTCAACCGCTCATTGGTCAGCTAGTAACTTTCTTGGTTATGAGATGGAGTAGGGATATCTAATCTTTGGCTTCTCTGGGCCACATTAGAAGAATAGTATTGGGCCACACATAAAATACACTAACACTAATGATAGCTGATGAGCTAAACAAAAAAAATTGCAAAAATATCTCAGAATGTTTTCAGAAAGTTTACATATTTGTGTTTAGTCACATTAACAGCTGCCTGGGCCACATGTGGTCCATGGTCCGTGAGTTGGACAAGCTTGAGATGGACTATCAGGGAATTACAGTGCTTGTTTTCATTAAAAAGCCACCCTTATTTTATTTAAGAATATCCTCAAAGTACAAGAGTACTGCTGTTGGCATATTGCTTATAATTTTTTATTAGTAGTTATTGTTGTCAATCTCCTGTTGTGCCTAATTTATAAATTAAACTTTATTGTATTTAGGAATGTGTAGACACAACAAAATCTCTCTATAGGTTCTGTACTATCTGCCATTTCAGACAGCCACTGGGGTCTTGAAACATATCCCCCGTGGATGAAGGGAGGACTACTGTATTCAGTTTTCAGAATAATGACTTTTAGTAATAGTATATGAAAAATTTAATTACCCTTTTTCTTAAACTTGTTTTCTTACAGTACATGGAAAATGTTCTTGTCTCATGAATCGTTTGCATAAAATGTAACAGAATTATGGATTTTTCTCCATTACAGGATAAAAGACTCAGATCATGCTGAATATAACTGTGCGATGCTACATCTAGATAGACTTAAATCAGTCCAGTGTGGATCTTCAAAAAGATATTATTGTAAGCATAAGCTTTAGAATGAAAGTATTTGAGTTTGCAGTGCATCAGATAAATTTTATATTTGTTAACATAGAAATGATATGATTGCATAAGTCTTAAAATGAATTGCATTATTTGCTCTAATAAGAAGAAAATTCTAAATCGATTATTGAAATATAATGCACACAATTTAAAAAGTACAGATATCCTAGCATTTATGTCGGGTTCCTTTTGCTAAACATGTTTGTGGCATTCGGCCTTCCTAAAAGTTGCAGGTTTTGTGGGTCAGTTTATATGAAGTGTCAAGAACAAGCAAAACCATGGAGAAAGAAAGTAAAAGAGCGCTGCCAATGCCTAAGGGAGGTTGAAATAGGAGGTGGCCACTAATTGCTAGAATGTTTCTTTGTGTCAGTGATGAAAACTTTTTAAATTTCAGTAGTGGTGATGGTTGTAACTCTGTGAATATACTAAAAATCACTGATTTTTAATTATTTTAAGCGGATGAAATTTATACTATGTACAAGATACCTCAATAAAGCTCTCCAAAAAAAAATAATAATACTGTCCTGGGATTGCTTGGGTCTGCATTTAACCTCTAAAGTAATATTTAAAGATTAGCTTCCCTACTTTTCCAATCAATATCATATTGTGCCCTTCAATGTACTGGGTTCAATGTACTGGGATCTCTTTAATCTCTCTCCATTATATTATATATTTTGGGGGATTGAATCATACAGAAATGCAGATATTTTACATTCATGCTTTTGTAAATGGCATTCTGATTTTAATATTCCCTTTAATAATTTTTATTACTGTAAATAGTAATACAATTGATGTCTGCATTTTGATTTTGTACCTAGTTATTTCACTTATTTTACATATTTAAATCTATCATTTCAAACATAGATTTTTCTGGATTTTCTATATAAACAGCAATTTTTTCTGCAAATAATCACACTTTTATTTTTTCTATCCATGTGCCATAACTTATTTTTTCTTCATTTATTTTCTCTGGCTAGTGCTTTATATCCATAGTCGAATAGAAGGTACAATCAAATTTTGCGTGTATCATATGTATCATTTTCTGGTTTTGGCAAAAAATAATTCAACATATTATTCATATTTACAAAGTTTGGTCTTTTTTTATCACATCTTTCTTATATTGAAGCAGTTTTATAATATTCTTTTTTTCTAATAGATTTTATCAATTGTAACATTTTTATTATTTTTTGTTACTCAGAATGATATGTGTTTTCTTTATACAACATTTTATAAAATAAATTAGTTTTATTTTTGTCAAATGTTAAACTAGGCTTTGTTTCCGAAACAAATCCATGCAGATCATTGTATATTGCCCCTTATAAAATATCAGTGCACTTATTTTATCTAGGGTAAGATTTGTTTCTTTATCCATGTTCACAAGGATATTTGACCATGTTTTTATTTATAGCTATGAAAAGTTTTGGTCTCAAGGCTATCTTGGGAAGATTTTCTCTTTTTCTATAACCTGGAAGCATCTGTTAAGAGTACTGCTTTAGCCATGAAAAAGGATGAGTTCATGTCCTTTGCAGGGACATGGATGAAGCTGGAAACCATCATTCTCAGCAAACTATCACAAGGACAGAAAACCAAACACCACGTGTTCTCACTCATAGGTGGGAATTGAACAATGAGAACACATGGACACAGGGAGGGGAACATCACATACCGGGGCCTGTCGGGGAGTGGGGGATTGGGGAAGGAGGTATTAGGAGAAATACCTAATACCTTTTATATTAGGTATTAGGAGAAGTACCTAATGTAAATGACAAGTTGATGGGTGCAGCAAACCAACCTGGCACATCTATGCTTGTGTAACAAACCTGAACACTGTGCACATGTACCCTAGAACTTAAAATATAGTAGTAATAATGAAGAGTACCACTTTATTTTTAAATGTTATTGTTCACTAGTGATGCCATCTGAGTTTGCAGGCTATTTTTGTAGAAAAGTTTATGTCTAAACTAATGTCTTCAGTACATGTAGGGTTTACTCAGATTTCTATTTGAGGTACTATATTTTGGTAATGAGCATTTCCTAGGAATTTTCCATTTCATATGGACATTAAATGCATTGATAATATAGTTTTATCGCCTGTTTAATAACTCTAAATACCATAATGGTATTGCCATGTTTAACTAGAAATAAAATATCTGTGCCTTTTCAAAATCTTCCTTTAGTAGTCTTTTGTGACCATTCATCTTGATAATTTATTTGGCCCATATGTTATTTAGACATACATTACTGAATTAAAAACCATATAAGGTTCTCAGATTTTTGTTTATTGACTTCTGTTGTAGGTAAAATATAGTTAGAACATTTTCTATGAAACTGGAAATGTTCATCCCTCTATAAATGTGGTTCATGTGGTGAGGTACTGGTTTTAAATGTTATTTACTTTTTATTAATTAATGTTAAATTTGAATAGGTACATTTTGACTGTCTCCTGGCCAAGCTTGCCTAGTGGTACTACATTGAAATTGAGTATATGTGTGAGTGCATGTGTGAATGTATTCATATGAGTGATAGTTACTTGTCTAGTTTAAATCTTTCTACAGGCTCACTGGCCTGTCTTGTATTAAGCATCAAGAGAAGAGTCTTTAAAATCCCATTTATGATTGTTTGCTTGTTCACTTTATTCAATTATATGTTGAATTTGTATCATTAGGTATATGCAATGATAAAAAATATGTTACTAATGGTTTGGAAAATTAATTTATCGTTATGAAGCATATTTCCCCAATTTCAGTAAATTTTATCTCAGCTCACTGCACCCCGACCTTACCTCCAAGGCTCAAGCGATCCTCCCACCTCAGCCACCAGAGTAGCTGGCTACAGGCAAATACCACCATGCTGGCTAATTTTTGTATTTTTTTGTAGAGATGAGATTTCATCATGTTGACCAGGCTGGTCTTGAACTCCTGAGCTCAAGAAATCTACACGTCTTGCTCTCCCAAGTTGCTGGGATTACTGACATAAGCCACCGCACCTGAGTGCTCATGTACCATTTAGCTTGTGTTTTTAAAATCTACTTTTTCTGCCTTCCCTATTTTTAACTAAGTGATGTTTTAAAAATTACTTTTCCCTCTCTATATAGTTTGATTTAAGCATTAGTCGTTTACAACAAATATTCCTATTAAAATGCAGACAGTTATGATTGGAAAATAAATCAATGAACAATATAATGAATGGATTTTTATATTTCAGTCTGGTGTGGTGATATAGTACAATATTGTTTAATAATTTATTCTTCCCAGAGACATCTCCTTTAGTAGAAGATTGTAAATATTAAATGTGATGCAACAAGGTAAAGTTAATACAGAATAAAATCAAATTAGAACTGTCTTTACATGAATAATTCAGGGTGAAAAACAACCCAAAATATAACATATGTTTGAGGATTTTTAAAAGTATTTACATGATTGCCTGTGGAGAATTAGTCAGGTACATGCATACATAATAATAGGTTTGTTGGTCAGTATAATTTAGAGTGTAACCAATAAATATCATGACAATGAAGAATTAATTTGAAATTTTATAATCATTATGGATGTAATAATACTTTATATGTAGCCCAGACTTTAATAATCAATATACATCAAATTGTGAATGTCAAACATAATTTCTCATACACATATTTAATTGAAGCAGATTTTATTTTTTTAAGAAAACAATAATGAAGTAGTTTCCATAAAATGCAAATCTAATCTTAATTATAAATAATAGGATGACTTAAAAAAATGGAGCCAAACAAACATTGTAGAAAAGATGTACTACACTGATATCAGTCTCCTACCTAATTAGTTATTTTACACACTCAGTATGAATTAGAAATAATAAAATGGCAATTGTGTTAAAAATAATTAAATTTTAAATAAATTAAATTATAAATAAATTAAATTATAAGTTAAAAATAAATAATTGAGGGCTAATATGTGCCAGGTTGTATAAGTGTTTTACATACATTATACTTTATAAATTACTTTCCCCAATCTAGATTAGTAAACTGGGGTTGTAGACACTAAGTAACTTTGTAAACGGTCATGCATTATGAGTTTCAAAGGTCTAATTAATTTTAGGTCTCACTGGCTACAGAGCTCATTGACTAGATTATTAAATTATATTTTCCGATTTATTACAATTACTTACACAACCAAAGTGACCCTCATTGCCTTTTAAAACAGCCACAGGATCTTTCTGAAAGTTTGAACCTAAAGTGTTCTTTCACAGATGGTCCGAACTTATATTTATCATTTTCAGTTTTCCTTTAAACCAATTAGCAATCACTTCTGTAAAATAAACAGTTCAATGATTTTCTATAGTAATTAGTTTATGCCTAAGTTAATGTAATATTTTACAAGGTATAAAATATTTCTTTAAAATTTTAACAGTTTTTCTGATGTCCTCAATCATTCAGAATAAAAAACATTTGCCAAGACCTCATGCCCTTTTAGTAAATGAACGTAAGTCACTAACTTAATGTACTTTGGTATTAAAAGTTGCTCTATACGCTAACAAACTATTCCTCCATCTTTAGCATTCAATCCTTACATTAATGAATTTTAAAATTGTCATACAATTAGTGTGTTTTATTTTCAGGTTTCAATTTTAGTGTTTTACACAGGTATTGGTGATAAAATATTTCTGTAGAATCTGACTTTAAATTAAAGAAGATATTTATTTTCATTTACTTCTTAGTTTTCACAAACATATTGTTTTTTATTGTTCCCATTAATAATATTATGTCAAATACAGAATACCTTTAAAAAAATGACCTATTGTTTAATGAGATTTCAGTTTAAAACTTTAGGAAATTGGTACTAGACTTTTATATTGGTCAACAGTAAAATGAACATTATTACTCAGCCACCAACACATGCAGTTTGCCTATACCAGGGATCCTGTCAAAATATACACCATTCATAGCTTCTTAAGTGCAGTTATCATAGAGCACAGTCCATGACATCACACAGCTGCAGAGATGAATAAACAAAGAGGAACCTAGTCCGAAGTGAGTCTGGCCCAGGACCCAAGGAGGCAGCAAAGGAAACTTAAGGGCAATAAAAGCTCCATTTCAGGAACCGAACAGAAAATATTCCAAGTAGAATTAAACCTTCAAAATGCTTCTTCGGATCATCAAGGGAATGACAAGACATATCACTGCAAAGGTAAAACGTTAAATAGATCTTCAATATTATTATTCTAGGATGTGCAGTTGAATGCAGAAGGGTGGGGAAAGATTAGGGAATATTTTGCACTTGTGACAATCAGAGGTCAAAAGTCAGGATCTAATATTTTAATATGAAATCTGAAGCCTGATTTTATTCAGGCATTGTTCAGTTGTAATCTGTGATCAACAACTCATGGAGCATTATATTTACTGAAAATGAACTGGTATATTCTGAGAGAAACATTACTATAGTAGATGTAGATTTAGAGGCCAGAGTTTATCTTTTTTTTTTTTTTTTAATACTTTAAATTCTAGGGTACATGTGCACAACGTGCAGGTTTGTTACATATATATATACTTGTGCCGTGTTGGTGTGCTGCGTTTATCTTTGTTTCCCTGTGCATGTGGGTTCTCTTATATGTAAACCTCATCAACTCTCTATCTCCCCTCTCTCAGTGCCTCTATTTCTCTCCCTGCAGGTTTACTGCCACCTCCAGAGAAGCTCACTGCTGAGGTCCTGGGAATCATTTGCATTGTCCTGATGGCCGCTGTGTTAAAAACAATAGTTCTTATTCCTTGTAAGTGTATTATTGAAAGATTATAAGGGAACTTTTCACTGTAATGATTGGAAGTGCCTTGAAACATTTCATAATAATGAGGATTACAACTCTCTTTTTAATGTATATATCTGAATCCCAAGATAATACGGTTCTTCTGAACTTTTCAAAATTATAAGTAACAGAATAATTGTAGAAAATATTTGTTTATTTGTGTGTGTGTGTTAAATATGTATGTATATATAATACACACAGAGATGTATAATGATTTCATGATTCAAAGACACGATTTAAGAAAAAATATTTAGAAAAACAAATTAATTTTTGAAAGTGGTTAAATCAAATACTATAAGAGATGGTGAAGTTTTATGCTAATGGCTTTAAAAATATTTGTTTTAAAGATCGTTTTTATTTCAGATTGTTCCAGTTTAAAATAATTTAAAATTTTGTATTTCAAAGTAAGCAACTGAAATTATGGTTTATCTAGGTGTTAATTTTGTAAGAATTACTTTAATTTTTCTAGGTATCAGAGTACTGGAGCAGAACAATTTTTCCCTGAATACAAGAATCCAGAAAGGTACATTATGATTGTCAGTGTTCTGATGTTAGTACAGTTTATATTTTGTCTCTATTTTAAGGGATGCAAAATGACAAGAAAAATTTTGGGGAGAATAAACTATAGCACTAAGCCATAAATGTTTATAAAATAAAGATTACATGAGGGCAATTCCTTTTCTCCAATAACAAGTAGAAATACTCAGTTAAAATCATTATACCCTCTTGTTGCATTTAATTAACTGAAATTTCCTAATACTATAAGATGATAAGAGATAAATAATTTTACTATACTTAAAAAGCAGTTTTGTTCAGTGATGTTTAAGACGTGTAGGGTGAATTTTTGTTTGCTGGTTTGCTTTATATGGGAACACAATTAAGGGATGAGAGGTGGACCTTACATTGTGCATGTGTGTGTGAGTGACTAGTTGTTTTAAAATATATATTTAACAGCCTATGAGGATGCATAGATATTGTGTACCTATGTGTTTATAGCTTTGCAAATCTATAAAATAATTTTAATTTGTAAATATATTGTTCTGCATAGTAACTCATATCTTTATTTAGCATATGACTGTGGCCATTGTCCTGAGGAGTGGATTACCTATTCCAACAGTTGTTGTTACATTGGTAAGGAAAAAAGAACTTGGGAAGAGAGTTTGCTGACCTGTGCTTCAAAGAACTCTAGTCTGCTTTCTATAGATAACGAAGAAGAAATGGTAAGACGTAAATGTTTCAACACTTTACTAAAAGCTTATTTCCGTCAATATCATATTTGTAGAAATCATCCATATGTTTATACATATTTAATTCATATATTTTAAGTCTGTGTAATATTCAACTGACTTCATAATATGTTATATTCATATACTGTTAATGCACATTTGATGATTTCCAGTTTTGCTTTTCATGGAAACCCATTCTTCTATGAATATTTTTATCCCAAAATAAATATAAAGAAAACTAAGCATGTCATAGTCATTCATATTGATCACAAAGTGAATGGATTCATGATACAAGGCAGATCATGAAATAGAAGTTTCCAGCCCCAGCAATCCTGCCCCTGTATATGCCTTCCTCCCTTTTCCTGCCTCCTCTCCAAACCTTTGTATTGACTTTTAATGTGATAAATAAGCTTTGCCTGTTTCTGGATTTATGTCAAGGGAATCATACAGTGTGCATTTTCATTTGTGTCTTCTTTTACTCCTATATGATATTTGTGTAACAATGCAGTTAGCTGTTGTTTGTTACTGTTCATTGCTGCATGATGTACATAGAACACTTACAATCCATTCAGTCCTGTGTCTCTGGATAGGGAAAGGAGTCTTATGTCCTCAGGGACAAAAAGGAACCTGGATGTGCACATGTAGTCATGGGGTTCCTTTGTTGATCCCTCTCGCCCGCACCTACCCTGGTGTCTTTTGGTTTGGGAGGAGAAGCACTTCCTCTAGCTCCTAACTGGTAGCAGGTCTCCTGGTAGATCATCCTTGCCAGTGGTACCAGCCTTGCCTGGTGTTGCTTTCAATACAGAGCAGGAGTGGGTTTAGCTGAGCCACCTCCCGTTGCTCTGAGAAACAGAGGACTAGTTCACTTTCTTCTGCTGAGTGGGGGACTGAAGATGTCCGGACACTCTGATGATCCCTGATTCTGGAGTCCCAAACCATTTTTCCACCCTCTTTCCACCTTTCAGAGTCTTCCTATGTGTCTTTCATTGCTTGCAGAGTTTAGAGTTGTATTTAGTAGGGAGTAGCAGAGAAGAAGGAGTGATGTACCTGGTCAAGACCATTGTTACTCCACCAAAACCGAATCAAATAAAAGTGAGCGCTTATCTAGTTAGAGTGGTGTGGTGCCCAGAAAAGCCCATTTTTGGCCTCTGTGTCATTTATTTCCTCAATGGCAACCTTTCAATTTCCTTCTAAACTTCAAGAAGGAAAAGTTCCACTATGAGAAACATGTTGGAAAAATACATTTATTTAATCAGAATATCTGGAGAAAAGCATGTGCAGTATCAGGACGTTTATTTCAGTTCTTACTGTGTCTGTCTTACCAACCCAGGCAACTATTAAATTACATGAATCACAATTTTGCTTATTAAAATAAGAAGAATGAATGTACTAAGCATAAAAATTGAAGAGCTACTTTTAAGTCAAAATTACAAAAATTTGTAACAGTTTTTTACACTATAAAAGTCGTTTTCAAGCTTACTATTTTGTTTAATGTATTTATTTTGTTTTGAAAATTAAGCATCCTATGAAAGAATGTATTACCTGTACTTTTAAAAATTAATAAAAGTTTATAATTCAAAGAAAGCACCTAAAAATTAATAAAATCTTTGATAATTATTATTTAAATGAAAATTTTGTATTTTCCATTAGAAACTTCTGGGCTCCCTGTCAGTTCTCTCATGGGTTGGTGTCTCTCGTAGCAGCAGTGATCATCCATGGGTGTCAATAAATGGCTCAATGTTCAAATTGAAGTAAGTTTTTTGAATGATGCTATATAGTAGAAGAATATAAAAAGGTTCAGAATAACATTGTGAATAAATATAAGTGCAATTATAGCCATAAATAAAGATGTTGACAGTTAATGAAATGTTGAAATAAATATTAAGGAACGATCCACAATTACATTTTCTGTGGTTTTAGTTACCCAGGCTCAACCACAGCCAAAACTATTAAAAGGAAATCTCTAGGAAGAAAAAATTCATGAGTTTTAAATTGTTCACTGTTCTGAGTAGTGTGATCAAATCCTTTCTGTAGTGTATGGATCCATCTCACCTGGGACATGAATCATTGCTTCATCCAGGATACCTGCATAGCCTAAGTTCCCTGTCCACTAGTCACTCAGCTGTCTCAGTTATGAGATCGACTGAGGTGGTATTGTACCATTTGTGTCCAAGTCACTGTTAGTTTACTTAATAAGGACCCCAAAATGCAAGAGTATTTATGCTGGTATATTGTTATAATTGTTCTTTTTCATTATTATTAGTTTGTTTTAATCTCTTAATGGGCCTAATTTATAAATTAAACTTTATCAAAGGTGTGTATGTATAGATAAAACACAGTATATATACAGTTCAGTACCATCTATGATTTCAGACATCCACTGGGGGTCTTAGAACATATCCCCTGTGCAGATGAAAGGACTATTTCATTCAGTTTTCATATTACCAACTCATTATATTATTATATGGAAAATATGATCTGTTTTTATAATATTCTTTGCTTACAATTTGTGGAAAATGCTCTTGTTCCGTGAATTGTCCCCATGCAATCTAATGGGATTATGGATTTTTCTCCATCACAGGATAGCAGAATCAGATATTGGAAAACTAACTGTGTAATGCTGCGCTCATCTGGACTTAAATCACACAGATGTGGATCTTCACAACTGTATACTTGTAAGCATAAACTTTGGAATTAAAGCAACTGAATTTGGAGTCTGTTCAGGTAATTTTAAATTTCATGAAATGGAAATAATATTTTGATTGAAAAAGTTTTAAAATAAATTACATAATTTGTCCCAATAATGAAAAAAGTTTTCAAAATCAGTTATTGAAATGTAATATACACACCACTAAGTACAGATATCATTGCTGTTGTGTCTTGCTCTTCTTACTCAACATTATATTTGTGGCATTCAGTCTTTCTTAAAGTTTCACAGTATGCAAGTGTGTTTATATGAAATATCGGTAATAGGCAATCCCATAGAGACAGAAAGTGGAATAGTGGTTGCCAATGCCTAAGGGAAGGTTGGAATAGAAAGTGACTGTTTATTGTTAACGGTCTCTTTTTGGGATGATGGAAACTTCCTAAATTTCAGTAGTGATAGTCATAACTCTGAATATACTAAAAGTAACTGACTTATGCACATTAAATGGATGAAATGTATGCTATATACATGACATCTTAATAAAGCTATTTTTAAAAAACTCCTGGATTTATATTTGGGACTGAATGTGATATCTAAAGTAGTGTTTAAATATAAGATTTCTTTATAACACTGACTTTTCTAATCAATATCATGCTGTGTCCTTCAATATATTAGGTTTTCTTTAATTTCTTTCAGATTTGAGGGGATTGAAGTCATATAGAAATACAGGTATTTCACATTCATACTTTTGTAAATGGCACTTATTTTTCAATTTTCTTTAATATGTTTTGTTGCTGTAAATAGAAATATAATTGACGTCTGCATGATGATTGTACATCCAGTTACTTCACTAATTTTATGTGTTAAATCTATCATCAAGTATAGATTTTTCTGGGTTTTCCATTTAAACAGCTGTTTAATATACAAATTGTAATACTTTTCTTTTTATTTCCAGGTGCTATGAATTTTTTTCTGATATATTTTCACTGGTTAGGGATTCATTTCTGATGTTGAATAGAAGAAACAAAAAAAGTTCTGTGTATCTTATATGTGTCATTTTCTGTTTGGAGAAAATATATCAACATTTAATTTATGCTTATGAATTTTTTATTACACCTTTCTCATATTAAAGCAGTTTTATCATATTCCTGTTTTTCTAATAGTTTTTATCAATTGATGTCACGTTTCTATCATTTTTTATCAATTGAAATGATATAGCTTTTCTCTGTATAATGTTTATTAAGTAAATTACCTTCATTTCTTTCAAATGTTAGAAAAGTATTGTGTTTCTGAAACAAGACCCTATTTATCATACTGCATTGCCCCTTTAAAAATAAATCAGTGCATATATTATACTTAGAGTAAGATTTGTTTCTTCATCTAGGTTCAAAAGAGATTCAACTGTGTTTTTACAAACTGTGTACATGAGAAATTTTGCTATCAAAGCTATACTGGGAAGCTTTCCTCTTTCTCTATAACTTAGAAGCATTTGTGTAAGGTTAGTTTTATTTTTAAACGTTATTATTCACTAGTGGTTCCATCTAACTTATAAATTATGTTTTGTAAGAAAGTTTGTATAACAAACTCAATTTCTTTAATAGGTAGAGTTTACTCTGGTTTTTGTTTCTTTTATTGTGTTTTGGTAATTTGTATTTTCTAGGATTTTTTTATTTTGTAGGATATTAAATGTATTCCTGATAGAGTTTAATATCTGGTATCTGTAAAAACGATAACGGTTTCCCCATGTTTAATCTAGAAATAAAATGTTGATGTTTTCTCAAACTCTTTCTATGGTAGGCTCATCAATTTTTAAAAAGTCTTTTCAATAAAAATACCTTTGGCCTCACTGAGCTTCTCTCCCGTAATTGTGTTCTTGTTATGATTTTTTACCGTATATTCTTTTTGTTTTTCTACTTTACTTATGTTTCATTTCCGTTTTTCTGCTTTTAATCTCATTTGATGAGTTCTCAGATAATTCAATTCTACCTTCATATTTTACTCTCTCTATATATATATATTTAAGGCAATTAATTTTTCACAAGAGAGAATTTGCTCTATTTTCTTTGTAATTCATATTAAAATGTGACCATCCATTGTGATAATGTCTTTGGCCCATAAGTTATTTAGAAATGTATTACTGAGTTAAAATTATACAGGTTTCCTAATTTTTAGTTATTGACCTCTATATTAGATAAACTGTATAAAGCATTTTCTGTGAAGTTGGAAATATTCTGCGTTTCTGTGTAAATGTGGCTAGTGTGAGAAATTGATTTTATTTTCTATTAATTAATTTTATATTTGAATAGTTACATTTCAAGTGTCCATTGACCAATGTAGGCTAGTGATACTGCATTGAAATCATAGTTTAATATTTTTATATTAATATGCTTGGAAACATGAGATTATAATGTACTTTTGGAAAATTTCCATGTGAACTCAAAAACAGAAGTATCCTGTTAGTATATACTGTCTGTACAAGTGTGTGTGAGTTTGGGCATATAGGTGATAGTTAATAGTGTAGTTCAAAACTTTTTAAAGATTCACTGGTGTGGCTGTTTGTGTGACAAGCTGTGAGAGAGAAATGTTAAAACTTCATTTTTGATTGTTAACTTGTTCACTTCTTTCAATTCTATGTTGAACTTGTATTATCAGATACATACACATTATTTTTAAAATATTATAATGATGTAGTAAATAACATTATTATTATGAAACATGCATCTTTATTTTCAATAATGACTTTATCTCTTATTTTATGACTTTACGTTAACAATAGCAGTTTTCTACTGGTTTGTATTGCATGATATATTTTTTCATCTCTTCATTTTAATTTTTCTTTATACTTAAAGGAGTGTCTTACAACAGCAGTTTTGTTAGAATAAACACTCTTTGTTTTTAATATAAAAATAATTTTCTTTATATTTACTATCAGTATTAAATTTTCAAATATGATTATTATGTATTTTATTCGTATGTACATAATTATATAATTAATTATAATTATTATCTAATTTAGATTGAACATTGCCAGGCTTTTAAACTCTTAGCTTTTTATTGCTTTATCTTTTCACTAGAAATATTTTATTGTTTAAATATTTCTACTAACAAACTGTGCCAATTTGTTAATTTAATATGCTTCGAATATTCTTTCATTAGTGCCCTGCATTTTACAGGGCACAACAAATTAATGCTTTTACCCCTTCTTAGACAATGAAAAGATCTAACTATCCTTCCTATGGTTTAAATATTTGTGACTTCTCAAAATTTATATTGAGACTTAATCCCTCTTTTGCTGGTTTTAAGAGGTAGGGCCTTTGGGAAGCTAATTAAGTCAGCAGGGCTTTGCCGTAATGATTTGATTAGTGCCTCACAAAAAGGCTGTCAGGAACTAGTATTCGCCCCATTTTCCCTTCTGCCATGTGAGGACGTAGCAACATGGTGCCATCTTGGAAGCAGAAAGCAGCCCTCATCAGACACCAAATCTGCTGACACCTTGATCTTAGACTTTCTTGCCTTGAGAACTGTGAGAAATAGATTTTCATTGCTTATAAATTGTTCGAGCTATGGAATTTTGTTATTGCAGCAAAAATGGACTAAGACTACCCTCTCCTTTTATTTACTGATTAGCCTATATTTGCTTTCTGAATTCTGATATAAAAATATATTTAAAGTTTGAAACATTGTCATCAATATTTTATTCATTTACTATTTAGGTAGGTATATCCACATAATTTCTTTTGAAATACATCATCTTTAGAATATATTTAAATTTTATTTTCCTAACTTCTAGGGAATAGCAACTAATTCTCCCTATTTAAAAACATTTCTTGAAGATGAAGTCGTTTGCCATGATATTTAAGAATATTTTCACTTATTATTGACTTCCAATTAACCCATAACTCTTAAGACACTAGGTATAGCCATTATTAACCATAGTCACAGTAATACATATTTTGATTCTATATCTATATATATACTATATATTTATATCATATAGAGTAAATTTTGATTACTCCTATTATTTTCAGTGACTTTGTTGCCTTTTCATATTATTATTATGCCTTCAAATAAGCATAGATTCCATTAAAGTTAAATGCTGGAAGAGTAAAAAAACACATTTTGTTACATATAACAAGGATATGATATACAGTTATGTGACAAAAGAAATAATGTTTTGGTCGACAATGCACCACATATATGATGGTGGTTCCATAAAATTATAATGGAACTGAAAAATTCCTATATCCTAGTGATACCGTAGCTGTTGTCATAGGACAGCTCGTTATTTACATGTTTGTGGTGATACTAGTTGTAAACAAACCTACTGAGCTGCCAGTCATGAACATATAGCATATACAATTTTGTACAGTGCATAGTACTTGATAATAAACAACTATGTTACTAGCTTTATGTATTTAGTGTACTACACTTTTTTTAACTTTTAGGTTCAGGAGTACATGTGTAGCATTGTTAGGTAGGTAAACTTCTGTCATGGGGGTTGGTGGTACAAATTATTTTATCACCCAGGTATTAAGCCTGATACCCATTAGATCTTTTTTCTGATCCTCTCCCTCCACTCTCCCTCCACCCTCTGATAGGCCCTAGTGCATGTTGTTCGCCTCTATGTGTCCATGTATTCTCATCATTTAGCTCCCACTTATAAGTGAGAACATACGGCATTTGGTTGTCTGTTCCTGCATTCGTTTGCTAAGGATAATAGCTTACAGCTCCATCCATGTTCCTGCAAAGGATAAGATTTCATTCCTTTTTGTGATCACATAGTATTGCATGGTGCATATGTGCCACATTTTCTTTATCCAGTCTATCACTGATGGGCATTTAGGTTGATTCCAAGTCTTGGCTATTGTGAATTACGCTACACTTTTTATTCTTATTTTAGAGTGCTCCTCCTACTTATAAAAAATAGTTAACTACAAAACAGGCTTAGGCAGGTCCTTCAGGTGGTATTCCAGAAGAAGGCATTGTTATCATAGGAGATGACAGCTCTTTGAGAGTTATCGCCCCTGAAGACCTTCCAGTGGGACAGGATGTGGAGATGGAAGAGAGTGATACTGATTATCTTGACTCTATGCAGGCCTAATGTGTTTGTTTGTGTCTTAGTTTTTAACAAAAACATTAAAGAGGAAGAAAAAAGTGAGAATAAAAATTTTTTATATAGGAAAGAGTTTACAGAATAATCATATAAAAATATATTTGTAGAGTTGCACAGTGTGTGTTTTTAGCTCTTTTATTACAAAGGAGTCAAAAAGTTTATAAAGTAAAAAGTTAGAGTAAGTTATTTAATATTATTGAGGAAAAGATGATTATA